TACTGTGTCTGTCCCTGCAGGGTTTTTGAAAGAACACTGCAAAGAATAACTGTTGCTAGGTAATTGTAAAAGAAAGTCATGCAAATTATGAAATATTGATAGATTATATTTACAAGGCAATGGTGCTAGAACGCTCCTGCTCGCCCAATAAATGCAAACTGAAAGACTGCAATACCTTCAGAATTCTTAAAACAACCCTACTGAATGACACATTCATCAGAATAACTCTTAAAAACCAGTCCATCCAGCAGTGACAATTCCTGCAGTTTGGAATTATCAACTTTATTTTGTGTTCCCACTATTAATTTTGCAATATAATATTGCAATAAACCTACTGTATTTGAGACAGTAGTAAAAGCAATTTAAAACATTAACCAGAGGGTCTTTAATTTATAAAGAGCATATTATCAGATAAAAGAATGTTTATCTAAAAGAGAAATAGAAATTTAAACTTTTCTTATCTCACTCCCAAAGAACAAAGTGAATCCTTCAGTAAATCTTAAGTCAGAACATCAATAGCCTTGGGAGACATTCTGGAAACATTAAAATATTCAAAGTATGCACAGAAATAAGTGATAACTAATGCAGACAGTTAGGGTTGAAGATAAATACATTCCTTGTCCATCTAGCAACATCTGAGAACGATATTCAGTGTGACAATTCAAGATGGGAATGACATACATCAAGATGGTGACCATGAGATGCAGATCCAGCCAATACTCCATGCTGATTTTCAAACTGGCGGGTCAAGCTGCGGATTCTCAAACCCTGGGCAAGCATCATGATGAGTGTCTTTCCATCAGTGGCCAAGGCGCATCTGAGCACTGACGTCATCAACATATGTGCCATCACCAGATCAACAAGGAACAAACACGAATAAGCCTAGAGAAAGTCACATAAGTGCCAACCAGGGTTTCTTGTCATAAATGTTGTAATTTCAAAACCATGAGATGAAGTATTATGGGGTGCCTACGTAGGTGATGAGAGATACTAAATAGGGAAGAATGTGAACTCAGCATCCTCTTTTTGGCAAGGGAACCTCACAGTTTCTTTTTTATCAACGGGGCTTCCGCAGATGTTGGTAAGCTCAGCCTGATGCCTAGCTTGGAGGCAGCCCACAAGACCTGTGAACACCTAGCAGCAACTCAAGGGTATGCTCCAGGAATACTTTGCTTAGCAACCGAAGTTCCATCCTGGGGACTCACAGCGGTGGTTTGAAAGGATGTGCTCAGTCCAGGTCCAACAAGTACAGCTGAAAACCTCTGGAGCTCTTGAAAAGCTGGGGCAAGGCTGCAGCACTGTGCATGAGGGCTGAGTGGATCTGGCTGTGGTTGGAAACTTCATTTGAGATGCACTGCCTGAAATAACCAATCAGATGCTCGTATGACCACATCCGCACATGCAGGAACGTAGCTCCACCTCCAATGGTCCTGGTTGGCTTCTTGTGCTTCTGTACCTTGTATCTGTGCATAGCCTTTTCCTGTCCTCAGGGTAGATGTTTAGCTCCTCCAGAGTGTGATTGTTTTAGCTCAGAAATCTTTTGATAACTCAACAGTGAGCAGACACTCAAAAATAGTTGGGGATAATGACAACACGTTCATTTGTGTAACAGTTTTATTCATGAAGCAAATACACACCAGGTGCTTTCGAAGTTCAGGGCGGACTAGGTGCTGTGCAAAATTCTTTTAAGAAGGGATCTGCAGTGAATCCTGCCCTTGATCAGCTTGTCTTTTAATAAGCCAGATTCTACTTGGTTTGTGGCAAGGAAAATTTGGCTCATGTTTTTCTTTTTTTTTTTTTTCTTTTTGAGACAGGGTCTCACTATGCAGTTCAGGCTGACCTTGAGCTCACTTTGTAGCCCAGGCTGGTCTCAAACTTGCAAAGATCCCTCTGGCTCAGCCTCCCAAGTGCTGGGATTACAGGCGTGTACCCGTAGGCCTGGCCTCAACTCATAATCAGAACACCTCAGTTGAGCCTTCTTTCTACCACCTCGTTCTTCCTGAGCATTCACTCTGGAGTTTGCTGGTCTCAGATTTGTGCTTGAGGGACGGAGTATGAGGACAACACCTACTGAGAAGGAGACACAGCACTGTGGAGACTCAGGAAGAAATCTGTGTATGGCATTTGTGTCTACCAAAAGTGTCTCTGGAAGCCTGGTTTATTTCTGACACTGCCTCTTCCCTGTTGAGGCCCCTGGCTTCAGGCTTGTGAATGTAGTGCTCCGTACATTCAGAACAGGTCTACTGGAGCATAAGCGTGGTGCCTGGGGCCCTTAATTGTGCTGCTTCCTGCCCACACCTCACCTAGACACGCAGGGGCTAGGCTCTTTAATGTCTCTACTCTACTCACAAATAACGGAGACTGGGGTAGCAGCTCAATAGTCACCTGGCTGCTGTTTAATTTGAACGCAGGTCTGTTTGACCCCAGAGGCAATTTTTAATCATTAAATTATGCTAACTTCTGAGTTTCAGAGATTCTGATATTTTATCTCTGGGCTTCAGATAATTCTTTCAAAATTCCCATCAAATGCGCTAGCTGGACCAAGACTTGTTTTCTTTTACAGTTGAGTCTTAAGGGACTACAATAAAGAAAGCAAAAATTCCACCGGAAAAAAACAGACTTGTTGGACAGGGAAGAAACAGCTGCATCCACTTTAGGTAAAGTTCTGTGGCCTGGTTTATGGTTTTGGACAAAACAGCATGTTACCATTTGTCCATCCATTCTCCACGGTTTACTAGGGAAATGCCATTCGCTTCCCATTACCTTTCTCAAGAGCTATGCTGAAGAGTAGTATGTCCCCACGTGCGTATGTAGTTACAGGGAGAGAGCAGTGGGTCCCCACTTCATCCAATGGGCAGAGCCTGCTGCTTCTAGTCCAACACGATTCTCAAACCTCAAAGAGCTTTGCTGATCCACGGTGAGAGCTCATCTTTTAGAACAAACAGAACACACAGCTTTGAGGAACTGGTTTCCATAAGCCAGGGTAGAGAACAGGGACCTCTTGCTGGATCGAAGCCACACCAGAGGGAGGACTCGCCCCGAGACCTGTCTGCTCTCTCTCGGACCAGCTGTCTTTAAGGAAGAGATAAAGTAATTTTCCTCCAAAATCTTCATCCACAGTGGACAAAGAGCAGATGGAGGACACTGAGCACTGCAGCGACTCTTCAACTGGGGTGGTCTCCGACAAAGCAGCTTCTACTTCTTTTTCTTTAAAGTAAGTAGGAATTCGAAAGGTGGGAATGTGTTGCGTTATGTGCTGGATATGAATACTTTTCTCTTTTGAACTCACACATTCTCCCCAGAACAGCACTGTCATTCCTTGAGGAGGCAAGTAATCTGGGGTTAAAAGCAAACTTGGCCAAGCCTTGCCATGCTTTTGGCCAAGCCTTCAGGCTCAATCCTGGCTGCTTTCTGGAAGAGAAATCCACAGGCCAGATTGCAGGCGGCTCCGGAAAGCCACGCCAGGCCCTCGGCTCCTGGTCACATCTGCAGCAGGGAGCTCGAGGCCATCTCATGAAGACAGAGGAGCGCAGGCCACAAAGGCCAGACCTACATGGCAAACCTTGCACCTGAAGCAATGACATGAGACTGTCTCAAAAATAAGACAGGTGCTCTGAATACATCCCAAGGAGATTGTGTATAAATATAGCATAGGAAACATTTAAGCATCATCCATAAGTCAAGTGGAAAATAAAGAATAAAACCAGTCTATAAATATCACTCTTTAAAATGCCAACAAAAAATAGTATGTAGCTGTTTATGACACTAAAAACAAACCTTTAGAGGTCTGTGCCCCCATGAAGCTACTTAAAAAGTAAAAACAACTTGGATGTAGAAAATATCACCAAAATATCAGGGTGAGGAAAGGAATAGTCAGACAGTTCACATTTAATGCCAAAGCTTGTCAAAAGGAATTTCCCAGGCCAAGGGACAAAATAGATCCTCAAGTGATAGGATGTCTAAGGCGGTCAGTTCAACCTTCTATTCCACAATGCTCCTATGATTTTGTTGTTTTGGAAAGATCGGCTGGGGAACAAAATGGAAATGCAAACAGAAAACCAAAGACTGACTGAGGGTAAGATCACTCAGAGGGGGCAGCAAACGCAGTATGTTGGACAAGAGAAACAGTAATACTGGACCACTGCCAGTAGCTTTTCCCCTGACTTCACGAAAAATAGTAAGCATGTTAGATGTATTAATTCTTCCACAGTAGGTGACAGTCCCCAGTTTTAGAGAAAGGGATCAATACCTGAGGGGTTAGACAACCTACTATATATCAGAGGTGAGAAGAACATTCTGGAATTTTATGAGATGACATCTGTGAAAGCACCTCTTGTACCAATGTTCAAGACAGGACAAGAACCTTTAGCTCATGTCTCTGTTTTCACTGGAACTAGTGGTTCCATCTGTCCAAAATGTTCACCCATGACAGTCTGTCCACACTTGGGGTACAGTCCACAAATTTAGCATTTTGCTAGGTGCTATTATATTTATGTGTAATGCACATTCTACTTTACTAACACAGAAAATCTGTATGAATTTAATACTGTTTTGTTTTAGACAATTTAAAGTGTGAAACTCCTTCAAGGGTAGAGATTGCTTTTTAAAGGCAGTTAGCCAAGAGCTGAGGTCCTAACTGTTTGGCAGAAACACATGTCCAGGAAGGGTCTTACTTAGCTAGTGAGGGTCCTGGGCTTCTGCCACTTCAAAAGGGATGGAAAAGACTGGGAAGGCCCTGGTTCCCCCTTTCTGCTATAAGAGAGTCTGGTTGGTAAATCAAGCCCACCTCAGAGTTTAAGTGCGGAGCCAGGTCTGGAAATTCAGGGCTGGCCGGGGCCTGGGCTGCTGGGCAACCCTGCCTTGCTAAGAGAGGTCTACTCGTGCTTCCTTCCGAGTCCTCAAGGCTGCCCACCACAGGCATCCACACTGCAGACCCTGAAGTCCTCATTCTGGCTGCCACAGGCTCTAAAGCAGCAGCTGGAGTCCCACGCTAAACTTACCATTTTCTGGCTGGTCCTTAATGTCAGCGTCACTTGGCTGGCTGGGACTTTCAGATTGACTTGAATCTGAAAAACATAAAAATACAGCCAAAAATTATAGAGTCTGTGAGGGAAAGTGGATCAGAGGTGCCGGCTTGCTCCAAGTGTGGCCTACAAACTGAGGAGGATGTTAGAGGGAGAGAGTGTGACAAGTGACACAGGCTGTGCCTAGGACCTTCAGCTCCACTCACACCTCCAGCGGCTTTTGCTTTGGGCCAGACCGAAAGCCGAAGCTCTTCGGAACCCACTTTCTTCTAGAGAGACCATTTCCAAACTGCTCCTCTCCATTATTTATACACTGGAGCCCAATAAAAACTTCATCCTTCATTACACACATCCGAAGCTTGATTCAGAACATAATCAAGTGTCAAAACACATTCTGAAGCTGGTGCATAAAAGCAACCCAAACAACAGGCATCAGCTCTGCAGGGTAGCGACAGAGTCTGCAGGCCAGCGCCACACAGCCCTGAGCCTAAGACCCCAGCATACGTGTTTGGGGAGCTGTGGAGCACAGAGAGAGATGAGGCCCTTGTTCTGTGGACACCCGCCTGCCAGACACACTTGGGAGAGCCAAAAAGGGTTTGTTGGCAAAGACGCATTCTTGCGGACCTTTGTAGAATCAGATTTACTTCTATTAAAAACATAAGCAGACCTTTGAACTAAAAACAAAAAATTAATTCAATTAAAGCAATTTCCAAATAGGGTAATTTAATACAAAGTAACACTTGATTTTAAAGTCAGATAAAGTTAAGTTAAAGAATTTCACAGAATTAGAAACAAGTGTAGTTGCGATATATTTTGGGGAGAGAAGAGGAAAATCAGGCAAAATATTTCAAAGGGAAAAATTTGTATTTTCTAAGTTGTAACAGTGCATTCTTAAAAGAAACAAGCAAACCTAAATTATTTAAAATGAAACCAAAAGCACCTCCATATTTGTGGAATGACTAGGTCCTAACTTTCCTTCAACCTTGCAGGGCTCGAATTAGCTGAATGAGCTCTGACCACACTTGAGTAGGAAGTTCGACACAGGATCGAGCATCTGTGACCCTGAAGGAGAGTGAGCTAAAAACCCTCCTCCCGCAAGGGAGAAGACAGCACACTGAGAGACTGCATGATCAGGGACTCCAGGGCTGAATGAGGATTACTACTCTAAAAAAACTCTGCTTTCAAGCAATGAAGATTTTAATCACAGGAAAGTACTATAAGAAACACATCTATTTTGAAATTTTCAGATAATCTTAACCTGGTGACCATACCAAAACAGTAACTCTGTTAATTCAAAAGTTCAAGGAACAAAAGATATAAAAAGGTAAATTTTTACTTAAGTTTAGCAAAGTGATAGCTTTTATTGGCTTGTGATAATTGCCATGGTAAAGACAAAAATCATGACATAACAAAAACCTTCACAGGCCCTTCAGAATAAACTGCAAAATTAAATACAAAGTATGCACTAAAAATTGGAGATATAAACAAATTTACATTGGGATCATAGTTAAAATTTTAGCTATTATACATTAATATTACATTGAGAACAATTTTAAAAGGCAGCATAATTACTTTTTCTGTTTCTAAAGAAAGATCCTATAATTTGCCTTTAGAAATTACAAATTAAATATTTTCAGAAATAATACAGTATGTTTCAAAAGGCACATACCTCTATTATTTTTGTTCTGGACAATTTAAGCCATTATTATGTATACATAAAATTAAAACAAAATTTCTAACTTTTGTACTAAGTGAAGTTAAAATTCTTCTCGACCATATTCCTAAACAAATACATAAAATTTCACCAAACCCATTTTCTTTATAATCCTAGCAAATACAATTCTCTGTGTGATGGTTTGCCAGGTCTTCTACTTCTAGGTGAAATACCTAATCACCTCTCTATGAACAAATAGAAAACGTTTTTTCTCTTAATTACTTTAGATGTAAAAGAGCCAATGACCTCTGATGCTTCATTAGTATTTCGGCAAAAGGGATGAGGACCCCAGATCACTTTTTTAAATAATCTTAACGCGGGCTTCTCTGTTTTCTTCACTTCTCTGTTTTTCTTCACTTCTGCACTGGGCTGCCCTCACCTTTACAGAGTCCTGACAGTGACAGGAAACACGAACAGTGATACAGCACGAGCATCAGGTATGTTCATTCCCAGCTAGTTTGCAGTTCCCAGCTACAGGAAAACAAGCAAGCCGGAGCAGAGGACGCTACACCAGGAAATGGTCAGGGCAGCCTGCAGGGCTCACTTGGGGAGGCTGAGCAACAGGACCCAGACAGGAAACGGCCAGCTGCCCTGGGAGCGGCATTCCCAGTGCCAACAGGCAGAGATTGGAGACACAGCCATCCACCCGTGAGACGCGTGTGGGGAAATATCCATCCTGCTAAGGCAAAGGCAACGCCAAAGATCTAGAGGAAAATTGTAAGTACTCTAGAAACTTCAGCAACACTTGCTTTCTATCCTAGGGCATTGATGCACTGGCCTTTCTGAACCAAAAGGAGCAGAGCCCCCTGTGCCTGCCTGGTGCAGCTCCATGCTGCCAGGCCGGGTGCCCCGATGAAGCTAGGCAGACAACCTGCGCTACAAATTAACTTCTATCCATACAGGACTGATACACGTGAGAGATCTGTCTCTTAAGCATTTGCATTAAAATATTATCAAGGTTAACAATTAATTTACTTTTCTGTTTTACATACTTGGAAGACACCTGTCTGGAGCCCAAGTAATTTCAGTCTTCTTATTGTGGACAATTATCGTGTGGCTGGTTTATTCCTACCAACTGAAATAAACACAGGCCCCAGAAAAACCCAACTGCATAAAACTGAGTGTTCCTCTTGTAGCTGAGCCCCGGTGACAGTGAATTTCTCTGGCTCCCTGCTCGATTTGTATTTTAAAAAGAAGTGAATGTTACTTAAAGTGTGTTCAAATGATGGGTTGGAAATGCCATCGTGAGGAGGTACATGAGAGATATCAGTCTCTCCCTCCCAGATTTACTTTTTGTTTAAGGATCCTTAGATTTCAACCTAACCTTGAAATGCAATGTTTCTTTTGGTTTTTACAAAATTTATGAGCAGAAATTTAAACCTAAAATAAACAGGGTTTGCATACAGAAGGCCGGGTTAAGACCTCTTAATTGAACTGGTAGTCGTCCATCTACACATTTTTATGGCACCCACAGCTATATTGCTGGAGTACTCAGATGCAGATAGCCCACTATCGATACAATCACTAGGTAAAGAAATAAAATAAATCCTAGCATCTACATGTCTGTCTCTGCCTGCACACGCTCATGTGGTACAAGAACAGAAACCCAGCCCCTGCACAGCAACAAGCGTCGTGCTTGGGTCTGTCTTAGCCCCCAACTCCAATCTGCTCCCTTGTGAAGGAACCTTGCAGGGCATACCTTAGGGTGAGGGGCGAACAACAGAAACACGCTAACATGACCAAGAGGATCAGGCAAAGATCTAGGCACTATTTCCCAGGGTTGTATTCTCTTAGCAAGAGGCAAGGATGGGATGTGGCTAAGTCTTCCCAGTGCCTGACAGGACTAAGCTCCTCTTCCACCCTTCCAGGTTAGCAGAGTTCCTTCTACCTCTTCTCACATCCCCAGGTCCTAGAACACGGTGGCTGGCCAGCCGCAAAGCCCAACTGGTGGGACTGAAGCGAGGACTCTTCAGTGGTGGCTCAGTTTCCAACCCCAGCAAACACCACTTTCCCAGAGCCACAGAGTACACCTCGCTTACAGCGAGGAGAGGAGCAACACTTAGAAATCTGCTGCCATGAGGGCTTTATCTTTGCATGTCTCCCTGAAGGGGACTGTCGAGGAAAGGCAAGAGGCACGCCTTGGATCTGGCATGGCTGGGCCAGGCTACAGCGGTCAGAGCTGCAGGAGTCAGCTCCTGGGACCTGGCTGGGCAGGGCAGAGTCTGGCGCACAGAAGGCCTCTGGAAATGTGTGCAGGGTGAAGTGATGGTTGGCAGAAGTGCTCCACACACTCCAGAGATCCACAATTAGTGAAGTCCGCCGCTCAGAGTCTGTGCAGAGTCCTAACTGCCCCTGTGAGCAGATCGAGGAAGTGGGAGCAGACAAGGCATGGGAAGACACAGAAGTGCCATCCTGCTCAGACCACAGACACCAACAGAGATCCATGGACCCTGAAACACAAATACTAGTATACCAGGGAAATACTTTAGCCCAGTTCCAGCCTCTTCACGCGCACAGTGACCTGGCAAAAGACGATGGCTGGAAAAGCCTTCTCTAGACTTGATGTGCAGTGTAGAAAAGGCAATACAAAGAAGCCAAGAGGTTCCCAGACGCAAAGATGAGCAAGTGAAAATCCTACCCAGAAGAGGCAAGTTATTTATAGTATAAAAAAAGGAAAGGAACCGACAGGAGTGAGTACACGCCTGCACAGGAACAAAGTTAGGAAAATTCCTGAGGTAAAAGGAAACAAGGAGTCGGGTGATTGCATTTTGATTGTAATAAACAGTTATGCCCTGCAGTTGTAACCCTTAAAGACGTTCACAATTTAGACGGGAAATTTATGCTTTGGGAAGATGAGTACTTTGCAATAAAGTCAGGCTAAAGAGTTCATTTTTCTATATCCATAAAGTGAAGTGATAATAGAAAAAATAATTCTATTTCTGATTGCTAGAGTAAGTGCTAGTTACCCTATTTTGAATGTTTATTACAGTAAAGAAATCTAGAAAATCAAGAAAATCTAGAAAATCAAATGGATATAATAGTCACATTTTGCTTATTAGTCTCATGGTCTCTTATTACTGTAATATAACATAATGTTCAGTAATATTGTCTAATTTTTCCCATATGACCACGGCCTTAGCACTGAAGCAAGAAATATCTGAGAATGTAGATGTCAGGTGTCCATACGCATGGATGACTTGTAGCTTAAGTGTAAACATTGATGAATACAATATCACTAGCTAAATATAACATTATCCATCACAGTCTGGCAGAGAACAGACAGAAATCTGTAACACTATCACTAAGTTGGGCCTACTGAAAATATGCA